GGTGCTGTGGCTCAAGTGGTAGAGCGCTAGCCTTGAGCTGAAGAGCTGAGGGACAGCGCCCAGGCCCAGAGTTCAAGCCCCACAACTGACAAAAATAATAAGTTGTCCATATTTCAGACTTGGAAACGGCACAAAAAGCTGGACTCAAGGTGCCTGGCCCTGGGTGGCAGCCATGTGCTACGCAGCTCACCCCCGCCTACTGCTCCTGCTCTCCGCCCAGTGAGCATCTTGAATGCTAGCCCCTGCCCCAAGCTCTTCTCTCCCTCCCTTCCTTCCTCCCTCCTCTCCGTCCCTCCCCTCCCTCCCCTTTAATTCTGTTCTCTTTCTTTCTTTCTTTCTTTCTTTCTTTCTTTCTTTCTTTCTTTCTTTCTTTCTCTCTCTCTCTCTCTCTCTCTCTCTCTCTCTCTCCCTTTCTTTCTTTCTTTCTTTTTGTCGGTCGTGGGGCTTGAACTCTGGGCCTGGGCACTGTCCCTCGGCTCTTCAGCTCAAGGCTGCTGCTCTACCACTTGAGCCACAGCACCACTTTGGTTTTCTGGTGGTTCATTGGAGATAAGAGTCTCATGGGGAATTTCCTCCCCAGCCTGGCTTTGAACCGTGATCCTCAGATTTCAGCCTCCTGAGTAGCTAGGATGACAGGCGTGAGCCACCGGCGCCCTGCTCCGTCCTTTAATTCTGATAACCTGAAGCTCCCAGCTCTCTGCATGCATCCTCGGTGACTGTTTACTGAGCACCTGCTACATGCAGGCAGGCAGTCCAGGCAACTCTGACAGCATTGGACAAATGGAGGGACAGAAGCGGGAGCCGCGTGGCAGTGGCCGGCCGGGGAGGGGCGCCCTCTGCAGGCCGGCACAGGAGACGCATGTGCTAGAATGTGCAGTTGGCTTGCCCAGCTCAGCCATGGCTGCAGAAGCCAAGTCAAACAGCGAGCCCAGGCCTTAGACTTTGCCCTTGGCCTTGCTGCTGGGCTCCCCAGAAATCCTTCTATTTCCCCCCTAGTGGAAATGGGGGTGCCGGCGGTGCACGAGGGGGCTCGAATTCCCATGCCACCCTCTCTGCCGCCCCTGGCAGCCGCCACGGCCCCGCCACACCACCGCGTGTCTCCCTGGGGCTCCAGGAGGAGGGACGGCCAGGCTCGGGCCGCGCTGCCCGCTGGGGGCAGGGTGGGGAGTGGGGACCCCTCTGGGGTGACGGGCCTGGAGTGAGCCCGTGCACCTCCCCCTCTTCCTCCTCTGTAAGACAGCCCGGTCCCAGTTTGCAGGGCTTTGGAGGACCAAAGTATACAGCAGGTGCTCAATGCGTGCACGTTCCCAGGTCTGCTCGTGAAGCCTTAGGGCTTCCATCCCCTCCCCCTACAGCCACACGCCTGAGCCTTCTGGGTGATGGGAAGGAGCAACTGGGCTCCCGGACGGGTCACAGCCCCCCCACCTGTACCCTTGCACCCCAAACCCTTGATGTGCTCCGTGGCTGAGCACGCGCCGTGGCCTCCCTCTCCCCCAGGTGTGCCGCCGAGAAGTTTGAACGTGAAGGAGGCAGCCTCCCGGAGGCTCCGGAGACAGAGGCCCTCCTGCTGCGGGAGCGCGGCGGGCAGGGGCCGCTGCTCAGGGCCATCTGGCGGGTGTTTCGCGGAACCTTCCTCCTGGGGACCCTCAGCCTGGTGCTCAGCGACTGCTTCAGGTTCACCAGCCCCAAGCTGCTCAGGTGAGTCCAGGCCTCGGCGCCCGGCCTGGAGGGGGGGGGGCGGAAGGAGCTCTCTCCAGGGCCAGGGGCTGTGGCACCTGCAGCCTCTGTATTTGGGAGGCCCAGGGCCCCCGAGGGTGGACGACAAGGTTACAGGGAGGGAAGGGGAGAGATGACGGAGTCCACTGACCCCCAGAAAGCCGAGGAGAAGGCCTTCCCCCCCCCATCGCTCTTCCATTGCGAACAAAGCCCCCTCCATGGGCAGCAGTGACTGATTGAGCTCGTGGTGAGGCTTGTGGGCAGCAGAGGCCGGGTTCTGCTGAACCTGTCTCTCATTTCTGGTCTTGGCTGTACTAGGATTCAAATTCAGAACCTTGTGCTTACTAGGTGGGTTCTCTACCGCTTGAGCCAAGCATCCCACCCCTTTTTTGCTTTTAGTTTATTTTTTTCCAGCTAGGATCCTGTGGTTTCTCCCAGAGACATCCTCCAAGGAGGATCCTCCTATCTCTGCCTCCCCCATTGCTGGGATTACAGGCATATGCCACCATGCTGGACCCCGGATGTGGGTTGGTTGGGTTCCCAGACCATGTGTCTGGCTGAGCCGGGCACTGGTGGCTCAGTCCTGTTTTCCTAGCTACTTCAGGAGGCTGCGGTCTGAGAATCGTGGTTCGAAGCCAGCCCGGGCAGGACGGATGGAATGGGACCCTTTCTGCCGGCCTCATTTTCAATTAGTCATGTTACAGGCCCCATCTCCAAACAAAGTCACATGTGGGGCCGGAGCTAGGGGGTTGGGTGTGCTTTCCACATACGAACAGGGGGACAAGAGTCCAGACTCCTTGCTGGGAGGCGCTGCAGAGTCCCAGAGCAAAGGAGCAAGAGCGTCCAGGCCTCACACCTCATTAGGGAGGCCGAGATTGGGAGGATCATGGTTTGAGGCCAGAAAAGCTCACAAGACCACCAGCCGGACCCTGCGGCCCGCGGCCGTGGTCCTAGCTATGGTGGGAAAAGCCTTGGTCCAGGAAGAGGCCTGGGGGAAAAAATCAAGCAACAAAACCTCGGCCTTATCTCAAAAACGGCACACGAGGGGGTGGTGGCGCTTTGGGCTCAGCAGTGTGAGTTCCTACGTTCAAACCCCAGCGCCACCACCACCGAAAAGCACAGAGGGAGTGCGGGGCCCGCGCGGCCGGAGCGCCCTCTCACCCCGCCCCTCCTCCCGCCAGCCTGTTTCTGGAGTTCATGAGTGACCCCGAGCCCCCGGCCTGGCAGGGCTCGCTCCTGGCCGCGCTCATCCTCCTCTCCGCCTGCCTGCAGACGCTGTTTGAGCAGCGGTTCATGTACTGCATGAAGCTGCTACAGATGCGGCTGCGCACGGCCATCACAGGCCTGGTGTACAGGAAGGTGAGCCCGGCCCCAAGCCCAGCCCCTCCTTCCCCTGCAGCCGCCTGGGTCTCCTTCCTCTGTTCCTCGGACCTCAGGGCCTTTGCACTTGCTGCTCCCACACCAGGTCTCTTTGCCTTCTCTCCAGCCTGGCTGGTGTCATGGTTTTTTTGGGGGGGGGCCTAGATCTCATCCTTGGCTCGAGCACTCCCAATTCCTCTGAGCCTGGATATGTTCCCCTCAATTTCCTTAGTTGTGAGGAGAGTGGGGGGTAGTAATGGGGTCCAGTTCACTGACCTTTGTCTTCCTTTAGTGAGGACACGCCTCCTCCACAAGGTCAAAGGTCACCTGCGGCGGGGGGAAGGTTCACTCCAAGACCCCAGGGGAGGAGGAGTCGGGGGCTCAAACTCCTCAGGGCCATTTTGTGCAGCCAGTGAGGCACCAGGAAGTTGAGCCTGGTTCTCGGAGGACTCCCCAGCTCAGAGGACTTGCGGGGTTCCCACAAGTCCCCTCTCCCCATCCCCCCCGCCCCCCCCCTCCGCACAGGTGCTGGCCCTGTCCAGCGTCTCCAGGAAAGGCCGCTCGGTGGGGGACGTGGTGAACCTGGTGGCGGTGGACGTGCAGCGGCTGAGCGAGAGCGTCCTCTACCTGAACGGGCTGTGGCTGCCGCTGCTCTGGATCGTGGTCTGCTTTGTCTACCTGTGGCAGGTGCGAGGCCTGGGGGGGGGGGCTCCTCTTCCTCCATCCCGTCCCAGCTGTGGGCGGGCTCTGGCCTTCTGGACGCTGCCCCACGGAGCCACTGGGTGGCGCTGTTGCCACGCACAAGGAAACCAGCCGGCCCCGCTGGGTTATGGTTAGGGAGAGTAAGGGATGGGGACAGGAGGCGGACAGATACGGGGCGGGCGGGGGTTTGTTTAGAGAAAGGACCCCAGTGGCTTCTCAAGAAATCTCAGTCCCCGTGACTTAGAAATCCCTCCAACCTCCTCAGGAGACAGAGATGGACACCAGGTGGAACATAGCTGTCCCAGAGGCCTGAACACAGGACGCCCGGTTAAATCTGAGTTTCAGAAAAACCTAATGTGTCTTAGTCTGAGTATTTCATGGAATATGCTTATATTAATTAGTCTTTTTTGTCAGTTATGGGGCTTGAACTCAAAGCCTGGGTGCTGTCCCTGAGCTCTTTTGCTCAAGGCTAGCTCTCTACTACTTTGAGCCATAGCCCTACTTCTGGTTTTCTGGTGGTTTATTGGAGATAAGAGTCTCACAGACTTTCCTGCTAGGGCTGGCTCTGAACCATGATCCTCAGATCATAGTCTCCTGAGTAGCTAAGACTATAGGCGTGAGCCACCAGCACCCAGCTCTGTGTGTGTGTGTGTGTGTGTGTGTGTGTGTGTGTGTGTGTGGTATTGATATCAAGGCTTGAACTTGGGGCTTCATGTTTGCTTTCTTGGCTGGCACTCTGCCACTTGAGCCACTCCTCCATCCCTGCTTTTTGCCAGTTACATTGGAAATGGGAGTCTAGTGACCTCTTCCACCCAGGCTGGCCTCAAATCACTGTTTTGTGATCTCATCCTCCCAGTAGCTTGGGTGACAGGTGTGAGCCACTGGTACATGGCCACATTCACTTTTTTTTTAATCTGAAATTTGAATCCGGGGGGTTATTGGCTCGATCTGTTCCCCTGCCACTACAAGCGGTGAAATGAAGAGTAAGAAGATGAACGTCTGGGAGGAATCTGGTCTTACAGATGACTAGGGACTCACCCAGGGCCATGGTTGTTAGTGTCAGAGCTGGGATTTGAACCCAGGTCCTGATCCTCGCAGTCTTGAGTTCAGCCCCCGGCTGCCTACGCGTGTGGCCTCCTTGAGTCTGAGTCCTCCCTGCGGTGCTCAGCTCCTCCCCTGACACCCGACCCCAGCCCTCAGGCCTCTGATGGCGTCGGTGCCCTCTGTCCCCAGCTCCTGGGACCCTCTGCCCTCACCGCCATCGCTGTCTTCCTGATCCTCCTACCCCTGAACTTCTTCATCGCCAAGAAGCGCAGCCACCATCAGGTACGGCGGTGTCTGGGAGCAGGAACAGCGGCCAGTACAGCGCAGGGAGGAGCCTAAGGCCCTTGGGTCTGGGGTGGTGCCAGAAATAGAAGGGGAGAGGCCGGCGCCGGGCCGCGAGCCAGGTTCTGTGACTGTCCACCTGCTCCAAGGCCGTCTCCAACCTGGACACTTCTCCACAGTGCCACTGGGTGGCGCCATGGCCACACACATGAACCCACGGGTCCACTCTGTTCCTAGTATTAGAAGAGTTCTGAAACTGGGGGAAACTGAGGCCCACAGACTGGACGTGAGGTGGGGGCTGTCTAGAGAAGGGACCCAAATGACCTTCTGAAGAATCGCTAAATAACTTAGGGATCATTTGCCCCTACCTCTACATCTTCCACGGCAGCTGGACAGAGCTGCCCCAGGATCCCAAAACTGGGGGGGGGGGGGCAGGGGGGCAGAAGGGGAGGGGCGTGGAAGGATCCAGACCCAGCACGAGGCATCTTGGGAATCCAGCCGTCCCGCTGTCCCCGACTCCCCACTTCCGCTCCCTACCCCCGTGGGCCAGCCTGAAAACACACAGGATGGAGACGTCACCTCCGCTCAGGCCTGCAGAGACCCCATCTCACTCAGTGTCCCGAGTGACCCACGGGGCTCTGGTGGCGGGCCTCAGGCAGGCTCTAGCAGCACCCAGGAGGTGCTTGGTGCCCAGCTGTGAACTAAGGAGGGATGGGGAGGGGTGGGCCCGGCTCCCCCCCCCCCCCATCTGCGCTGCCCACCACTTACCTGGGCCCCGTGTGACCTCCTGTAAGACATTCTAGGCAGCGGCCACACACACACAGGGTGTGAGGGTCCCCTGCTCCCCAGTCCAGCTGGGATCCGCCCTCTCTTCCCCACTGAACCCCACTGTCTTCTGGGTGTCCAGCCTGCACGAACTCCTATAGAGGCCCCGCTGCCCGCCTTGGGTGCCCATCCTCAGGGCCCGGCAGTGGCGGGGTGGCTCTCTAGATCAGGACACAGCCTGGGCCTCCGGGCCTCCACCTCCGGGAAGCCCACAGGGCAGGCGGGGCGGGGGGGGGGGCGAAGGCCGTCCCCCTCCTGACGGGCCAGGGCTGGCTGGGACGTCTGCCGGGGCCGGGGGGCTGTGTGGTGGCCGCAGGCGCTAGGCCTAGCGGGTGTGTGCTTGGGTCCCAGGAGGAGCAGATGAGGCAGAAGGACGCACGCGCGCGGCTCACCAGCGCCGTCCTGAGCACGGTGCGGACCATCAAGGCGCACGGCTGGGAGGAGGCGCTGGCCGAGCGGCTGCTGCGCCTGCGCGCCCGCGAGCTGGGCGCCCTGCGCACGTCCGCGCTGCTCTTCTCCGTGTCCCTGGTGTCCTTCCAGCTCTCCACGTTTCTGGTGACGTCACGGGGGGGTGGGGGATGGACATGGGGGGGCGTGGCTGCAGGGCTCCCCACACAGCCCGGCCCCGGGCCCGCGTCCACCTCCCCCTGTGTCCCCAGGTGGCCCTGGCCGTGTTTGCCGTGCACACGCTGGTGGCCGAGGACAGCGCCATGGACGCGGAGAAGGCCTTCGTGACCCTCACGGTGCTGGGCGTCCTCAACAAGGCCCAGGCCTTCCTGCCCTTCTCGGCCCACTGCATCGTCCAGGCGAGGCTGGGGGGGGGGAGGCTGGGCCCCAATGGGGGGGAGGCTGGGCCCCACTGGGGGGGGAGAGGCTGGGCCCCACTGGGGGGAGGGGGGAGGGAGACCCTCAGGAAATACTCAAAACTATGCCAGGATGCTGCCCGCTGCCTTCCTCACCGAGAACCGGGCAGCCTCTGCCGTGACCTCTCTAGCCCTTCCTGCCGTGCATCCCCGGGTTCCACGAAAACCAGACACTGCCCGTTGAGTTTGTTGATTGATCGATTGATAGATTGTCGGTCATGGGGCTTGAACTCTGGGCCTGGGCGCTGTCCCTCAGCTCTTCAGCTCAAGGCGAGTGCTCTACCACTTGAGCCACAGTCCCACTTCCAGTTTTCTGGTGGTTCATGGGAGAGAAGAGTCTCATGGACTTTCCTGCCTAGGCTGGCTTTGAACCGAGATCCTCAGATCTCAGCCTCTTGAGTAGCTAGGATGACAGGCGTGAGCCACAGGTACCCTCAGCTTGTGGGGTTCTTTTTTCTGTCCTTCCTTCCTTCCTTCCTTCGTTTCCTTGTTTCGAGTGTGAGTATGTATGTGCATGAATTTGTGCACCTGCAATGGTCCCAGGACTTGAACTTAGGGCCTGTGTGCTGTCCCTGAGCTGTTTTTGTTCAAGGCTAGTTCTCTACCACTTGGGCCACGGCTCCACTTCTAGCTTTTTGGTGATTAATTGGAAATAAGGGTCTCACAAACTTTCCTGCCTGGGCCGGCTTCAAACGGTGACCCGCAGATCTCAGCCTCCTGAGTAGCTAGGATGTCAAGGCGTGAGCCGCCTGTGTTTTAATGGCTGCTCCTCAAACCTCCCCAGAGGAGCGTTTGGTTGGGAGTCAAGAGGGCGCCCCCTGGTGGACAAGGTCTGCGGTGGTTGGAAACTTCCTCCACCCTGCAGTACAACAGCCTAGGCCTCAGTAGTCAGGACTTGGTTGCCTCCGGACGCCGGGCCCCCTGCCTGTCCCTGGGTGACACCCCTGCCCTCCACAGGCCCGCGTGTCCTTGGGCCGCCTGGCTGCCTTTCTCTGCCTGGAAGAGATCGAGCCTCTCGCCGTCGACGCGAGTCCTCCCAAGAGCTGTGAGTTCTGCCCAGGCCCAGGCGCCGAGGGGCGGCCACGTGGGGGGCCACGGCTGACGTTCTGGGTGAAGAGGGAGGGGGACAGGAAGGCTGGGGGCGCTAGTCAACATGACAGAGGTCAGCTGGGCACTCACGCCTGGAATCTTAGCTACTCTGGAGGCTGGGATCTGAGGATCCAGGTTCGAAGCCAGCCCAGGCAGAAAAAGTCTGTGCGACTCTTATCTCCAATAAACCACCAGAGAACCAGAAGTGGCGCCGTGGCTCAAGCAGTAGAGCGCTCGCCTTGAGCTGAAGAGCTGAGGGACAGCGCCCAGGCCCTGAGTTCAAACCCCTGGTGCGGCACCATAAAAGACAGAGAGGGAAGCTGGGGAGAGAGAGGTAGGGAAAGAAGGGAAGAGAAATAGAGAGGAGAGAGGGAGGGTGGGAGGGAGAGAGAGGAAGAGAAAGGGAGAGAAAGAAGAAGAGAGATCAGAGTTATGCGCATCACTGTAGAGTGATTGAGCTGCTCCCTCCTGCCCCACCCACTGTCACTTCCACCTGTGGGTTTGGTATTGTTCACCATTGTCAGCAGGCCTGGTCCCCACTCTGCACCAGTACAAACCATCTAACTGCCACTCCACCTGGTATTTGTTTTAACTGGGACATCTGGTCGACCTCTCATCTAGTGTTGATTCTTTTGTGGGTGGTGGCGGTCGTGGGGCTTGAACTCACATCCTGAGCACTGTCCCTGAGCTTTTTGCTCAAGCCTAGCATAATCTACCACTTGGGCCACAGCACCTCTTGTGGCCTTTTGATGCTTGATTGGAGATGAGTCTCATGGACTTTCCTGCCCAGGTTTGGCTTTCAACCACTGTCCTCAGATCCCAGCTTGCTGAGTAGCTAGGATTCCAGGCACAGGCTACCGGTGCCCAGCTATTAGTTTGTGTGTGAGATAGAGTTTAGACTCCAATCCTTCTACCTCTACATCTGGAGTAGCTGGGATTACAGGCATGTACCACAATGCCCGGCTCGTGTTTTAGAGCTGTTCTCAAGATGGTTATTTTTAGCCTAAGTGTCTTTTATGCAGTATCTGAGGAAATCCTACCACACAATCATTTCTGTTTACTGAGTTTTGTGGGGTGTCCTCCCTGGACACCCTCCAGCCTGGGGAAGATCAGTTCTTTTTTCACCAGGCAGAAGAGCTAAGAACTGTAGGCGCCCAGCCCCCAGTGCTGACAGACACCCATTTAACGCATGTGCACGGAGTCATGAAGAGCCTTGTCTTTTACGAAATCTCCCAGGTGATTCTAAACAGAGGCTCAGGACAGAGCATTGTCCCGTGACATCTGTGCCTCAAAGATTTGTCAAAATTCTAATGTCCCCTCGGCTTGCTCAAGCCCCAGATTGGATGATACGTCACACGGGGAGTCATCTGGCTCTTCCTGTGAGGGACGGGGCTGTAGCCATTCTGGTCCTCAATGCCGCCATCTTAGCGTGACATTAGCCCTTCCGTGAATGAGCGTGGCTGTGTTTCAATAAAACTTTATTGACAAAAACAGGCCACAGGCAGGGGTTGGCCCTTGGGTTGTGGCTCACCTGTCTCTGAAGCACACAGCCACAGGGCCACTCCAGCCCCCCCATCCCCCCGGCACCAGGGCAGGTGTCCCAGAGATGGGGTGCGGGGTCTTAGAGACAGAGAGGCAGCAGCGAAGCAGCCTTGTGCCCGTGCTGTGCCCTGCAGCCGCCCGGAAGGACTGCATCGTCGTACACAATGGCAGCTTCACCTGGTCCCGGGAGAGCCCAGCCTGCCTGCACAGGTACCCGGGGGCCCCGGGGAGGGAGCCGGTGCCCGGGCCCATGGAGCCTGACGCATCCAGCCTGCTGTGGAAGACGGCACCACACAGGGCCGCAGCCCTGCGAGGGGCTCGGGCAGACTCAAGCCCTGCGGACGGCATAGCGGGCAGGCCAATTCCTCTGCCCCATTGGGGGGAGACGCCCTCGGCCCTGCAGCTGGGGTGGGCGCTCTCAGCAGCTCACCCACTCAGTGCCTGAGTCCTCATCTCCAGCCCCCAACTATTTTTTATCTTTTGGTCGGTCGTGGGGCTTGAACTTGGGGCCTGGCGCTGTCCCTCAGCTCTTCAGCTCAAGCCGAGCGCTCTACCACTTGAGCCACGGTGCCACTTCCTGTTTTCTGGTGGTTAAATATAGATAAGAGTCTCACTTTCCTGCCCCAGCTGGCTTTGAACTGTGATCCTCAGATCTCAGCCTCCTGAGTGGCTAGGATGACGGGCGTGAGCCACCGGCATCGGGCTACCCCCCAACTTTACAGCTGAGTCTTTGTAGCCAAAAAAATCCCAACCCGTGCCCCCCCAGGTCCCTGAGAAGGGGAAGGACACTGAACGCCAAGGGTACAAGGAAGGGGAGATGTGAGCTGTCAATGGGGGGCCTTTGAACAGCAGGCAGTGGGCAGTGCAAAGGTCCTGAGGTCAGTTTCTCAGTCTCAGCGTGGATGCAGGCTGGGCCGTGTAACCAGGGAATCGTCTCCTTTGGGTTCCCAGGATCCACCTCTCCGTGCCCCAGGGCTGCCTGCTGGCTGTGGTGGGGGCTGTAGGGGCGGGGAAGTCCTCCCTGCTCTCTGGCCTCCTGGGGGAGCTGAAGAAGATAGATGGGTCGGTGAGCATCAAGGTGAGGCGGCCCTGCCCGGCCCCGGCCGCTAAGATGGCCCCGTCCTTCCCGGGCCTGCGTCTCCCCTTCACAGCCAGGGTCCCTGCCCCCTCCCCCTCCCCCCTCCCCGGCCCCCCTGCTCTGCTGAGCCTTCGCCTGCCCGTCTCAGGGCCCCGTGGCGTACGTGCCCCAGGAGGCCTGGGTCCAGAGCACCTCTGTCCTAGAGAACGTGACCTTCGGGAAGGAGCTGGACCTGCCGTGGCTAGAGACGGTTCTAGAAGCCTGTGCCCTGGGGCCGGACCTGAGCAGGTTCCCGGATGGAGTCCACACCTTGATCGGGGAGCAGGTGAGGCCCGGGGCCCTCAGGGGACAGGGAGGCTTTGCCCAGGGGGGCCGTGACCCCTGACCCCCCAGTTCAGGGGTTGAATGTCGCAGGTGCCCCCATTGTTCATGGTGAGTGAAGGGAACGAGGTTAACATGCTTCTGTGGCAGCTCAGACCCGGGGCCGCCGCTGCCCAGCTGGTGGCATTAATCAGATCACCTCCTCACCCCCGGCCTCCCTCACCGGAGCATCTCAGCAGAAGCCATGGCTAGGTTTCCACAATGCCTGCACCCAAGCCCGGCCCTCTGCTTGTTTTTGTAAATAAAGTTTTATTGGGACACCGCCGGGTCCGTTCATTTACCTGTGGGCCACGCCTGCTGCGTCCACTCCCCAGGTCAGGGCTGAGCGCTGGCGACAGACAGCCCACGGCCCGCAGCCCCCCGTGGCTGCTCCGGCCTTTCCCAGGGGAGGCTTGCCAAGGAGGAGACCCCCAGCAAAGGGACGCAGGAGCCCCCTAGGGAGGAGCGGTCCAGGGGACGGCCTCAGAGCCCCTGGTGTGGACCATGGAGCAGAGGGACAGAGGCCAGGGAGGGAGGAGAGGCCGGCGAGGCCCAGGGATCTCGGTGACACCAGCCCTGCCCACACACTGCGTGTTTTCCCTGGAGTCCTGGGCACGGCTGGGCAGAGAGAGTCCGTGCAGTGAAGAGTAACTGAATGAATGAATTGAAAAGTTACCCCAGGGAATGAAAGGGTACAAAAGCCGAGCGAGGGTGGAGAGACTCGAGTGCGGGCGGGAATGCTTCTCAGAAGACGCCCCCCCCCCCCACGAGTGTCCCCGGCCCGATGTATCTCTGACCTGCACACCCAGTCTTTCCAACAGCTATGGATGGACTCAAGTTCCTGCTCCTCTCCCCCCCCCCACCCCCGGCCCAGGGCATGGACCTGTCAGGGGGCCAGAAGCAGCGGCTGAGCCTGGCCCGGGCTGTGTACAGGAAAGCCGCCGTGTACCTGCTCGATGACCCCTTAGCCGCCCTGGATGCCCACATCAGCCAGCACGTCTTCACCCAGGTCATCGGGCCCGGCGGGCTGCTTCAGGGAACCGTAAGTTTGGGCACAAGCGCCAGACAGGTGTCGCAGGGGAGCACAGAGGAAGCCCTCCAGTCTACCCCGGCGCTCAGCTCCTCAGGCACCACTGGCCTTTGTATTGGTCAGCTTTTGCTGGGGCGACGCTGCGTACCAAATAACCCCACCCCTACCACCGCCGCCCCGTGCTTCGATCTCAGCGGCGCACAGCAGCACTTACGCCTCGCTTGGGAGCTGGTGCTCAACCTCGTACAATGTTCTCACTTCAGGAGGCCGGAGAAGCGATCAGCGTTCGGGCAGAAAGCCAGGAAATAGTCGTGTGTGTGTGTGTGTGTGTGTGTGTGTGTGCGTGCGTGCACGCGCACGCGTGTAACTTCCTCTCCCCCCTCCCCCCAGACCAGGGTGCTGGTGACCCACGCACTCCACGTCCTGCCCCAGGCTGATCAGATCGTGGTGCTGGCGGGCGGGGCCATCGCAGAGATGGGCTCCTATAAGGAGCTTCTGCAGAGGAACGGCGCCCTGGTGGACTTGCTGGATGGAGCCAGACAGCCTGGGGGCGGAGACGGCAGCGCGGGAGGACGAGGTACTGGGTGGGCGTCGCTGAGTCTCTGTGGCAGGTGCCTGAGTCTCACCCTGCAGGCCCAGGCCCCGGCAACATGGGCGTGGCCAGAGGGCCGCCTCCCCCAGCCACGAGCCCAGGCCCTCGCCGTGTCCCTGCTCCTCACCACCCCTCTAAGACGAGAGCAATCTCAGCCGCCATTTCACAGGGGAGCGGGAGGATGCCCGGGAGCACGCTGAGTCATCCGCTCAGGGCTACCCATTAGAACTTGGTGTTCAAACCCAGCGTCTCTGCCCGCAGCTGTGACAGAGTTTAATAAGCCAGGAGCGCTTTGGTGTCTCGAAGGCTGCCCCGCACCAGGCCAAGCTAGTGTTCCTGATAATCCAGAGGATTTAAGTCTGTTGGATACTCAGGAAGGTTCTGGAAGGTTCTAGAAGATTTGGGGTGGGGTGGGGGAGGATGGGGGGAAGTACCAGCGATGCACCTCACATCTATTAGCTCATTGAAACATTTTGCAACATCTGTAAGGTTTGGGATCCTAGCTGCCTTCATTTTACAAGTGGGGAAACTGAGGCCTGAAAGTAGTCCATGGTTATGCATATGGGTATGGGTAAACTGAGCTCCACGTGGACCCAGACAGCTTGCTTTTATAGCCAACACACTTTATAGCATCTTTCCTTGACAGAGCAAGGACTTGCCTAGGTGGCTCTAGTCTTGGGTTCCACCTTTCTCTGGAAACATCTCAGCCCTGGTCCACCTTCATCAGAACTCTAAGGGTCACTATCTTGGAGATTAAAAGTTAGAAGTCACCTGTGTGTATCAGTCAGCTTTATGCTGTGATGCTGCCACACAACAAACAGCCCCCAAATCTCTGTGTTTGTTTGTGGGTCTATAGTTTGGGGGTGGCTGTCCCACCCTGGGAAGCAGTGAGCGGTGGAGGTCTCTCCTGGAGAAGACGGCACTTGAAGTTGGGTGTAAGTCACCCAGGAAAGAACCTTCTAGGCATAAGAAATTGTTGGAGGGGCTGGGAAGATGGCTCAGTGGTAGAGCGCTTGCCTTGCATGCCTGAGGCCCTGGGTTCGATTTCTCAGCACCACATAAGCAAAAAGAAAAAAGCTGGAAGTGGCGCTGTGGCTCAAGTGGTAGAGCGCTAGCCTTGAGCTGAAGAGCTGAGGGACAGCACCCAGGCCCAGAGTTCAGACCCCACAACCAACCAAAAAAAAAAGAAAAAAGAAATTGTTGGAGCAGGGTGTTGGTTACAATGGTGAGAGATGTCAAATCCAGCGTTTAGACCCCACAAACCCCCATCTTATCCCCCCACACTGTGTGATGAACCCCTTGATCTTGCAGATACGGACCCCCCTGTGGCCAGTGCTGGTGACCCTGGAAGCTGCTCTAGAGTCCAGGGACCCGAGCACAGACCCGAGAGGTGAGTTCTTGGGGTGCCCAGCACAGGGAGGGCAGGGCCTGCTAGGTGCCCCCACCTGCTCCGTGCGGGTGATTCTCCAAAACCAACATGCCAGTTGACTGGCTCAATGGTGCAGGGCCCCGGACTGCCTGTCCACCGCGGGCACAGTGCGCTTCTACCATTACACATGCCCGCGGCGCGCCAAGGACAGCGTCAGGGCTGTCTCCCCGCCAGAGCAGCCGGGCAGGCTGCCACCAAGACCGCTCACCTCGGCGGTCAGCAGAGGCTGGTGCTTTGATGGGTGGGAGGGACAAAGGCCTCGAGTCTGTCCACACCTGAGTTGTTGCGGGCGCTGGACACGCAGGTAGGGATACCCCAGCGGCTGGTGGTGCCCTACCACGGAGCCCACCGGTCCTTGGCAGAGGGACCTGGAGCGGGTTTTGTTCTTGGAGATAGGCTGAGGACAGATCCTGCAGGTCTGCTCTGCTAGCCCCATCCAGGAATGGGTGCTTTAGGGTCCTGAGTAAGATCAGAGACAGGTGGATGGGTGGGTGGATGGATGGATGGATTGATATGAAAATGGGTGGATGGATGGGTAGATGGATGAGTGAATGGATAGATAGGAAGATGGATTGATGAATGGATAAATGGATAGATGGGTGAATGGATAGATGAATATGAAGATGGATGGATGAATATGAAGATGGATGGATGAATATGAAAATGGATGGATAAATGGGTGGGTGGATGGATGGATAGGTGGGTGGGTGGGTAAGTACAAAGATGGATGGAAGGATAGATGGATAAATGGATGGATGGATGGGTGAATGGATAAATGAGTGGATGGATGGATGGATGGATGGATGGATGGATGGATGGATGGATGGATGGATAGTTGGGAACATAGATGAGTGGATGAATGGTGGATAGATGGGTAGTTGGGTGGAGAATGGATGGTGGGTAGATGGGTGGATGGGTAGATCGATGGATGGATGGATAGGTAAATGGATGAATAGGAGAATGGATGGTGGATAAATGGATGGATCAACAAACTGATGGATGATTTATTATCTAAAAATGATAGGTGGCAAATTGATGGGCATATAATAAGTCAACAGCAAATACATGATAGATAAGGGCTGGAGGTGTGGCTCAAGTGGTAAAGCACCTGCCTAGCAAGCACTAAACTCTGAGTTCAAACCTTAGTACTGCAAAAGAAATGAGTATAACACATGAAAGATAGTAGATGATAGATACTGTCCCCATTTTTATTTTTTGCCAGTTCTGAGGCTTGAACTTGGGGCCTGGGCACTGTTCCTGAACTTCTTTTGCTCAAGGCTAGCGCTCTACCACTTGAGCCACAGCACCACGTCCATTTTTTTCTGTGTTTTAATTGGAGATCAGAGTCTCACAGCCTTTGCTGCCTAGGCTGGCTTCAAACTGCGATCCTCAGCTCTTAGCCTCCTGAGTAGCTAGGATGACAGGCGAGAGCCCATTTTTAATAGCGGGGAGGTGGAGGCATACAAGCAGCTAAATCCCTGCACACGTGCGCAGGTGAAAGGAACATTGGAGAAGTCTTTAGCATCTGAATTGTGCCAAATTGACCATGTGACCTGACAGGTCAGAGGGTAAACAATGCAACACTTAGGCCCCAGTGGCTCTTCGGAAAGCCAAGCTGAGGGTTGTTCGGGGGTGGGTGAGGGATGGCTGACACAGAACCAGGCAGCATGCTGGGAGCAGCGGGTGTCTTTAGGAAGGAGGGAACCGGGGTCAGTGGTGACCAGCCGGCCTGAGAGCTTGGTCCTGCCCCGAGGGGGGAGGACCCTGAGCCATTTTTCCTCCAAATGACAGGTACACGTCAGCGCCCGCGGGGGTCAGCACCCACTCGGAAGGCCCAGCGGGGACCTGTCTAGATGACCCGCAGGGGGCCAGGGGGCCGGGAGGAGAGGCCAGCACGCAGTATGGACGGGTAACTCACCAGGGCCCCGGCCACCCCCGGGCCAGCTCCCCCAGCAGGCCAGACACAGGGCCGCGAACTCCCCTTGACCGAGTACCTACCATGTGCCAAACAAGATGCTAACCCTCACCACCCTAAAATAATAGGTGGACACGATCCACTTAGAGACGAAGCATCGAGTCAACGCACGAGACAAGGGACTCCCAGCACGCAGGCCTAGCTCCATCCGGGTCCCTGGGCCATTCCTTGTCTTCCATGTTGACTCCTCCCCCTCCCCACCCCCCACCCCTGCTCACCCTACCTCTCCATCCAGCACCCACCCACCCACCAGTCCAGGTACCCAACTGTCCACTCATCCATCCATCTGCCTGGCCATCCGGCCATCTACTCACCCACCTACTTATTCGTCAGTCTGTCTGTCCAACCATCTATTTGTTAACTCATCCATTGTTACACCCACCTACAAGACACCCACTCATCCATACATGTCTGCCTGCCTATCCCGTCATCCATCATCTACCCAAATATCCACTCCTTTATCCATCCACAACCTCTCCATCCATTCCTCCATCTGTTCATCTAGCCATGTACTCATTCATGCATCCATCAATCCATCTACTCATCCATCCATTCATCCATAAATGTCTACCCATCTACCCAATCCATGTCAGCTCCCCAACCATATACTCATTTATCTGTCCATCCACAACCCATTCATCCATTCCTCCATCTATCCATGTACTCATCCATCCATCCATCTATCCATCTGTCAATCTATCCACTTATCTATCCATCCATTCATCCATGTACTCATCCATCCATGTACTCATCCATCCATCCATCCATTGACCCATCCATCCATCAATCCATCTATCCACCCACCCACTTGTCCATCCATCTACACATCCATCCATCCGTCCCCTCATCCATCCATCCATCCATCTCCTTATTCACATAAACACCTGTGCTTCAAAACCAGACTGTCACCTTCAGACTTCCAATGGCTCCCTGGGAGGATTATGGCAGAAGTGGGGGAGGGGAGCGTCCTGAAGGGTCCCAGGGGAGACGCTGCCCCATGGGAGGCCCGGGGAGGTGGACCAGTCCTGCATGGCGCCCCCTCTGCCCCGTTGGTGTGGATTTGGGAGCTTTGCCCGGCCCGGCCCTGATTCACCCCTCTCTTGCCCATCTCTCTGTTGCTCTGTGCCTGGCACATTCTACAGGTGAAGGCTGCCACCTTCCTGGCATACCTGCGGGCCATGGGCACGCCGCTGGGCCTCTACACCCTCTTCCTCTTCTTCAGCCAGCAAGTGGCCTCCTTCTGCCAGGGCTACTGGCTGAGTCTGTGGGCAGACGATCCGGTGGTGGACGGGCGGCAGACGCAGGCCGCCTTGCGCGGCTCTGTCTTTGGGGTCCTCGGCTGTCTCCAAGGTACCCCCCCGTCCCCCGCCCCCATCCACTCACAGATGGGGGCTCCTGGATGTCCTGCCGGGGACCTTCAGCGCCTCCAACCTCCAGAGAGAGCCCGGCCCCTGCCAAACACACATGCCTGCACCACCCTGTCCCTTCTCCTTTTCTTCTGTGCCAGTCCCGGAACTGGAACTCAGGGCCCGGGCGCTGTCCCTCGCTCGCTTTACCCCTTGAGCCACAACTCCACGTCTGGCTTTTTGGTGGTTAGTCGGAGATCAGAGTCTCACAGACTTTTCAGGCCTTGAACTATGATCCTCAGATCTCAGCCTCCAGAGGATGATGAGTGTGAGCCACCAGCGCTGGGTCTGTGACTGGACCCCAGAGATCGGAATTAGCTATCACCCCAAATCCAGGGTGACCCTATTTCCAAACAAGGTCCACATGCCGAGGTCCGGGGGGGTCCCCGACCCTCCCCCAGGCTGGCGGGGAACCCTGCCGAGGGTGAAGCGGGGCTCGGCCGGCCTCACGCCCTGACCGTCCTCCTCCTCCCCCCCCCCCCCCCCCCCCCCCCCCCCCCCGCCCCCCTCCTCAGCCATCGGGCTGTTTGCCTCCATGGCGGCCGTGCTCCTGGGAGGGATCCGGGCTTCCAGGCTCTCTTCCGCTCGCTCCTTTGGGACGTGGTGCGTGCTCCCATTGTCTTCTTCGAGCGGACGCCCCTCGGGCACCTTCTGAACCGCTTCTCCAAGGAGACGGACACGGTGGACGTGGACATCCCAGACAAGCTCCGGTCCCTGCTCACGTTCGCCTTCGAGCTCCTGGAGGTCGGCCTGGCCGTGTCCATGGCCACGCCGCTCGCCATCGTGGCCATCCTGCCTCTGATGGTCCTCTATGCAGGCTTCCAGGTAGGAGGAGGCCGGGAGGTTCCTTGGGCCAACTGAGGTGGCTGTGCCAGGCCCCAGGCTCAGGGCAGGTACCGAGGGGCGGCCTCTTGAAGCCTCCCCAGGGCCAGAGACACCCTGGTGTCTGTCTCCCAAGGTCCATGTCAAAGCTTTTTTCAACAGTCAGGCATGGTAACACCCACCTGTAATCCCAGCACTGGGGAGGCTAAGGCATGAACATATCCAGTTTGAGGTCAGCCCAGCTACAAAGTGAGGTCTTCAGAGCAAAATTCTCCTTAATAGCTCTGTGTGTGTGTGTGTGTGTGTCCTGGAGCTAGAACTCAGGGCCTGGATGCTGTTCTTTTGCTCAAGACTAGTGCTCTACTACTTGAAAAACCGCTCCACTGTCAGCTTTTTTGGCAGTTAATTGGAGATAAGAGTCTCAGGGATTTTCCTGCCCAGGCTGGCTTCAAACTGCACTCCTCAGATCTCAGCCTCCTAAGTAGCTAGGATGACAGGTGTGAGCCACCGGCGCCTGGCCAATAGCTGATCTTTTATGCTACTGCTCAAAGATTCTGGTATTAAGCCAGGGCCTGAGAAGAGCTGAAATCAACCTAAAAAAAAGAGTATGGGGGAGTGGCGGTGTACACCCGTAAATTTCAGTACCCAGGAGTTGGGTGCTAGAGATAGAGAGTTCTGGACCAGCCTGCGCTGCACAGGGATGAGAAAGAGACAGACAGTGAATGTAACGCCTTACATTTCTGGAGTCCGCAGCCTGGCTGACACCGTCGATGTATTCGGTAGTTCTCAAATGTGGCCAGGACCTGCAGGAGCAGCAGCGATTACTTGGGGACCTCATCCACTCTTGAGAAGGGGGTTCTAGCTCGCTGAGCAGCTCCAGCACAGATGGGCATTTGAGAACCCTGGCTTAGCCCTGCTCAGCCTGCTTCTGCAAGCCGATCCTCAGCATCGATCCTGGGCTCTTGCTGTAGCAAACCCCACAAACAGAAACTCCTCCAGCTCAGTGTTCTTGTTGTTTTTGGCCAGTCCTGGGCCTTGAACTCAGGGCCTGGGCACTGTCCCTGAGTTCTTTTTTTTTTTTTTTTTTTGTCGGTCATGGGACTTGAACTCTGGGCCTGAGTGCTGTCCCTCAGCTCTTCAGCTCAAGGTGAGCACTCTACCACTTGAGCTACAGTGCCACTTCCGGTTTTCTGGTGGTTTATTGGAGATAGGAGTCTCATGGTCTCTCCTGCCCAGGCTGGCTTTGAACCATGATCCTCAGATCTCAGCCTCCTGAGTAGCTAGGATTACAGGCGTGAGCCACCAGCGCCCGGCTTTTTTTTTTTTTTTTTTGGTCGGGTCATGGGGCCTGAACTCTGGGCCTGGGTGCTGTCCCTCAGCTCTTCAGCTCAAGGCTAGCAATCTACCACAGCGCCACTTCCAGCTTTTTTCTTTTTGCTTATGTGGTGCTGAGGAATGGAACCCAGGGCCTCCTGCATGCAAGGCATGCGCTCTACCACTGAGCCACCTTCCCAGCACCCCCCTGAGTTCTTTTTGCCCAAGGCTGGTGCTCTACCACTTGAGCCACAGCACCATGTCTGGCTTTTTCTGTGTATGTGGTACTGAGGAATCGAACCCAGGGCTTCCCACATGCTAGGCAAGCCCTCTACCACCAAGCCACAATCCCAATCACCAACTCAGTGTTCCTGGAGCAATCCCAGGGACGGTTGTGGTGGGTCCTTTATAAGTCATGGGCCCTCCCCTGAACCAGTCAGACACACCCAATGGTGAGGATGCTCTGACTGGCTAAGCTGGGTCACGTGACCACTTGTAGGCTTGGGGCTCATCACGGACATCACCGCCTTCTCCCACGGGAAAGCAGAAGTGGGAGGGAAGCGCTGTGCCTCACAAACTGCCCCAGCTCTTCCCTAAAATTCGGACCTGGGGGACGCATGTCTTCTGTTATGAGCTCTGGGCTCAGGCAGAGATGGCTTTGAATCCAGGCCAGAGCCTGGAGAAGCAAACTGGGCCCAAGGTCGCACAGCAAGCGGATGGCCGAGACCGGGAAGCTGCCTCAGTGTGTCTGCCTTCTCTCCCCCCCCACCTGCACCCCCCCGCCCCGCCTCAGAGCCTGTACGTGGCCACCGCGTGCCAGCTGCGGCGTCTGGAGTCGGCCAGCTACTCCTCCGTGTGCTCCCACCTGGCCGAGACGTTCCAGGGCAGCGCCGTGCTCCGGGCGTTCGGAGCCCAGGGCCCCTGCGTGGCGCGGAGCGACGCGCTCGTGGACGCGAACCAGAGGGTCAGTTTCCCACGACTGGTGGCTGACAGGTAGGAGCGGGGGGGGGCAGTGGAACCCATTGGTGTTCACAGATGAGGTCATACTGGCTGGAGAAGCCCAGATGACCCCCAAAGTCACACCGCACATGGGGTGGGGGGAGAATGAGTCCAGAACCCACCAACAGCAGCAGCCTCAATCTCCTTTGTCGTCTAAGAACAGTAAGGCGAATTTCTGAGCTGATAGAACAGGTTCAACTTTTACCCCGGCCAGCTGCCTCGCTGATTGATCCTGCATTCTCTACCTAACCTCTCTGAGCATCATGTGCCAGAACATTCAGCAAGTGCCTACTGTGCCAAGCACCAGTGGCTCACGCCTGTCATCCCAGCTACTCAGGAGGCTGAGATCTGAAGATTACGGTTCAAAGCCAGCCCGGGCAGGAAAGTCTGTGAGACTCTTATCTCCAATGAACCACCAGAAAACCGGAAGTGGCGCTGTGGCTCAAGTGGTAGAGTGCTAGCTTTAAGCTGAAGAGCTGAGGGACAGCGCCCAGGCCCAGAGTTCAAGCCCCACGACCAACCAAAAAAAAAAAAAGGAAAAGAAAGTGCCTACTATGTGCCAAGCTCCCTGATTTCCGTGCTACAGGTGGTGCATCGCATTTAATCCCCAGCTGCCACCAGCTTGGGGTAGATGTGCAGACTGGGTGGTTAGAGGAGGGAGAGGACTTCCCCTAGCTAGCCACTGAAGAAGATGAACCCTCCCCTCTTTTGTTTCCTTGGTACTGGGAAGCTTTTGTGCTCATGTGGTAGGTTTGGCTTAAGCAGGGTCAACTTCTTGGTCTCTGTTCCCTCATTGGTCGCCTGGGAACGATGCCAGCCTCTTGTTGGAACAAGATATTATGTGCCAAGCCTGGGGCTTCCGCAGAACGGGTTGTCATCTGCTTGATTTGCTGCCAGTGCCCCCGACACCTCCCTTGGTGTCTGAGTGAATGAACGAATGAATGAATGAGTGGTAGATCAGGACATCAGGGAGAGCTCCTGAATCAGGTGCTGGGGATGGAGCCCCGCCCCCCAGCCCAGTGTCATCCAATGGCGGCGAGGCAGCCACAGACCAGGTGACCTGGCTGGGGAAACCCATGGGGAGGGAGGCCCTCCATGGTGCTGGGTCCCAAGGTCAGGCGCATCAGGGAAGGCTGTGGGGGAGGTGACCTTGGAGTGGCCCTGTGTGAAGATGTTGACCCCGTGCGGGTCAGGCTGAGGCGGGCAGGAGACACAGCCTGGCACCTCCAGGGCCGGCAGAGCTGGGCCGAGCACCAGGCGTGTGCCAGGGCTTGACGGGGCGGTCACAGCCACTCCTTAGCTCAGGTGGGAGGGGGCCGCGCTGGGACCCCCAGACTATACTGAGCTTCCAGTCCTTGAGGGCAGGAAAAGGGGGGGGGTCCTGGCAGATGAGGGACCCCTGCGTACCCGCTTCTCTTCGCAGGTGGCTGGCGGCGAACCTCGAGTTCCTGGGGAATGGTCTGGTGTTCGTGGCCGCCGTGTGTGCAGTGCTGGGCAAGGACCACCTCCGTGCCGGCCTGGTGGGCTTCTCCATCTCCGCCGCCCTCCAGGTACCCCAGACCCCCCGCGCCCTCTCCCCACATCAGCGGGGGGGGGGCAGAGCAGAGGCGGCCGATTTTCAGGCTGGGGTGCAAACCGTGTGGCTGAGTGTGTGCCGGGCAGGCCTGGCTCTGAGCGCAGCAGAGCCACGGGCTCTGGACGTTTCCATGCTGTTATCTATACGTCTCGGTGTCTGTGGGCAGCGCATGCGCAGGCAGCTGCGTTAACAGTATCTGCATCCTGCCGTGGTCTGAGCCAGCGTGGGGAAGCAGAGCCCGCGCTCTGCTTGACTTTAGCTGAGTTGACGTTAGCTGAGTCAACCGGAAGACCCCTCCACAGAGGATGTGTGTGTGGGCAGGGACCGGAAGGGGCGTGCTGGAGCAGCAGGAGAGAGGGTGCTGGGGTCATGATGGGTGGAGATGGCCGTGAGGAGCGAGAGGAGGTGCGGCGAGCCAGGGAGGTGAGTGGAGAGGGCAGCGAGGCTGCGGGAAGAAGGGCGGCGCTGGCTGGCACACAGGATCGCTCCTGGGTACCAGAGCTTGGAGACGCAGATGTCTGGGGAAACCATGGAGGCCTAGATCCTGGGGATGCGGTCAGAATGTAACTAGCAGCCCTGGGCTGGCTGTGTACCTTTGGGAGGGTGTACACCCTCTCTGGTCCTGTCTCCAGATGGTGTGACCAGATGATGGAGGGGCTCGAGGGGAACGGGGTGCTATTGGCTGAAGCTCAGTCTTTTGTGTGTGTGCGCGTGTGTTCCAGTCTGGGTGCTGTCCCTGAGCTTTTTGCGCTCAGGGCTACCGCTTGAGCCACAGCTCTGCTTCCAGCTTCTTGCTGGATAATTGGAGATCAGAGTCTCCCCTAGATGTTCCTGCCCTGGCTGGCTTTGAACCGTGATCCTCAGATCTTACCCTCCAGAGTGGCTGGGATGACCTGCGTGAGCGCCAGCGCATGGCTCCATGTCATCCTGGTGGTGCCAGGCTGTCAGGCCGCCCTGTTCTCTGGCCCTTCTTCCTCCCCTGGGTCCCGTCTCCAGACCCTGCCTTGAGGGGGCAGTGAGCCCAGCCTGAGTTATCACCCCCCCCTTTCTCAGGTGACCCAGACACTGCAGTGGGTGGTTCGCAGCTGGACGGACCTGGAGAACAGCATGGTGGCTGTGGAGCGTGTGCAGGATTACGCCCGCACCCCCAAGGAGGTGAGGACAGGTGCACAGGAAGGGCGGTGGGCTTCCTCCTCGGCCCCCCCATTCAGCCTCCCCCCCCCACCCAGGGGCTGCAGTCACAGCAGGGGGGGGGGCGCAGCAGCAGCAGAGCCCGGGCTGCCCGGGGCCCTGGCCAGGCAGGCCACAAGGGGGCAGGGCAGAACTTTGTAGGAACAGAGCAACTAGCTACACAGTGACAGCCACTGCAAGGTCTGATGGAATGGAACATTCTAGAACTAGGTCACAGCAACATGTAGCACTCTGCTGGATCCAAAGCAGCCACCTAACAGGGTTCTAAGCTAGGAGGGAATCCAAGGAGATCATGCAGGACAAGATGGGGTCCCATCCCCAGCTCAAGGGACATTTTCTTTGGGGTGTTGGTCCTGGGGTTTGAATTCAGGGCTGAGCGCTGTCCCTGAGCTTCCTTTGGCTCAAGACCAATGCGCTACCACTTGAGCCACGGCTCTAGTTCAGGATTTCTGCTGATTAATTGGGAGATAAGAGTCTGGGAGACTTTCCTGCCAGGGTTGTTTTTTGTTGTGTTTTGGGTTTTTTTTTTTTTTTTTTGGTCGGTCCTGGGGCTTGAACTCTGGCCTGGGCGCTGTCCCTCAGCTCTTCAGCTCAAGGCCAGCGCTCTACCACTTGAGCCACAGCGCCACTTCCTGTTCTCTGGTGGTTTATTGGAGATAAGAGTCTTATGGACTTTCCTTCCTGGGCAATCTTTGAACTGTGATCCTCAGATCTCAGCCTCCCGAGTAGTTAGGAAGACAGGCGTGAGCCACGGAGGCCTGGCTTGCCTGGGCTGTTTTTTGACTCTTGATCCTCAGCTCTGCCCCTCCTCACTGGCTCAGAGACAGGCCTGAGCGATGGGTTCCAGCAGGACGCTGTTTTTTGGGCACTAAGCCTTGAAGAGCAGTTGTGGGAGGGATGGGAGGCAGCGCACCCTGCGTGGGGAGATGCCAGGCGCTTATTCTGTGCAGCCGCAGTCCTTGCCTCTGTGGATGGATCTTTACAGCCCTGGATCACAGCGGTAAACCTGTGCTTTGAAGAAACTGAGGCTGGGGAGGGGGAGGCTCGTGAAGTAGAGGGGGTGATAGAGCAGCTGCCTAGCAAGCAGGAAACAGTTCAAACCCAAGTACCACAGAAAACCCGGACACTGAGGCTCAGAGAGGTGGGATCACTGTTACCCCCCCCCCATGCCAGGCGCCCTGGAGGCTGCCCACGTGTGCGGCTGGGCACCCCTGGCCCAGTGAAGGGAGGATCGAGTTCCGGGGCTTCGGGCTGAGACACCGCGCCGACCTCCCGCTGGCGGTGCAGGGCGTGACGCTGACCATTGAGGCTGGGGAAAAGGTAAGGTCGTCTCTGGGCTGAGCACCAGCTGCCCCCCAGCTCCCCACCCAGCCCCCTCCCACCTCGGTTCCCCGACATGGCACCAGCACCACCCTGGGACCCTGGCTTTGCCAAAGGAGACCTCGTCCTCAGTCTTCCCGTCTATAAAATGGGAATGCTACCACCCACCAGCTTCCTTACAGCGCCTGTCATTACTCCATTCTCAACCCCGGGAGGTCTGAGAGTGCTGGACGTGCCCCCCAGCGTGACTCCCCCCTGCAGCCCGGTCTCTGGGAACCTGCATTTAAGCATATCAATTCCCCTGCCCAGAACCTTCCACCACCTCCCAGCTTCCTTCTGGGTAAAGTCTGAATCTCCGAACTGTGGGCCTCAGGGTCCAGCTGCCCGGGGGGGGGGGGGGCGCACTAACCTGTGTGTGCTTCCCCTCCTCAAACTCCTATGCGCCCTACAAGGTTCCACTCAAGTTTCCCACTGTACCGCATACCAGGCAGGAAGTAGAGATGGAGGGGGTGGGACAAGAGTGCATGGTGGGCGGAAGTGTGTGTGCTGAGAGGATGACTGACGGACAGACTGACGGACCTCGACCATAACGCCGCGGTCCTGGCCTGGCCGGCGTGGACCACGGCCTCGCCTCGCCCTGGCAGGTGGGCATCGTGGGCAGGACGGGGGCCGGGAAGTCCTCGCTGGCCGGAGGCCTGCTGCGGCTCCAGGAGGCGGCGGAGGGCGGGGTGTGGATCGACGGCGTCCCCATCGCGCGCGTGGGGCTGCACACGCTGAGGCGCAGGATCACCATCATCCCGCAGGTGAGGGGGCGTGGCGAGGGGCGTGGCCGCGGTGAGGGCGTGGCGAGGCCAGGGCCGGGGCGTGGCAAGGACTGGGGGCGTGGCAAGGGGCATGGCCGCTGCGAGGGGCGGGGCGAGGGCTGGGGCGTGGCCAGCATTGCTGAGGGCTGGGGCGTGGCGGTGTCTGGGGGCGTGGC